TAAGTAGGAAAAGGTGCAAGTCTTTGAAAAACAGTTGGTTCAGCAAGTGTCTCATTGCGATTTAAGTAGACTGGCCGACCCGATTAGATCTCAATGAACATGTGAAGCGATGCATAGCACAGGACAATACTGGCACTTATTACACAACAGAATCTACTGATGTAAGTTACACTGATCAAGTGTGACTTAGCAACATGAATGACATCAAGCCAAATAAACAACAACTCATTTTGTTAAAAAATCATAAAATTCCTTCATTCAATAGTTTAGAAACTTCAACAAAGAACTGACCAATCGCCAAAAATGTTTCTCCTCTGAACAGTACAAGATAACATGGGAGTTATTCTGACAAAAGTCTGATAAATTACAAAACCAACAATTTATCATATATGAACATCTATTGAGCTATTGAGAGCAGAGAAAGGCAAGGAGCCTCATTGTATAGAATTCGTGCATAAGAGAAGAATGCTGAAAATGGTTGTGTTGACGAGAAAAGAAAAATCAAAGGCGAGGAAACAAAGGAAAGACAACCTCAGAGGAACAAATGACTGAGACAAGCTGTCTCCGTCTGCTGCAAGGAGAAAAACATTATCAATAATACTTATCTTCAGGACAAACACATCGTCCCTTTTGCCGGAAAAAGGAGTAACTCCAATGGTTCTTACTCACCCTGTAACTGATCCTGCTAAAGTACTCATTTTTCTTGTGGCAACAATATTTATTGCTGAGAAGAGGCAAATCGACTTCATCATTATTGCATCATTGCTAAACAAACCAGATTAAAGATTTAGAAAAATTCAGACATTAAAAAACTAGTTGGTGAGTCCACACAAGTTTCTACACTTTCACGAATAGAAATACTAATGATAAAGGTTTGCACATATATACACACATATATATATATATCTCTATGTATAAAGAGAAGTCAGTTTACCCGAGAAAGATTTCAACATAAAAGTTTGGATCACTTCACAACAATGAGACTGAGATAAGATTTGTTTTTAGTTTTAAAGAAGAAATATTTACCCCCGAAGAGAGCAATTATGGTAAAAAATCACTGTTGCAGTCCAAAAAAAAAGTATCAAATGAAACAATGGTTAAAAGAAATAACATGCAAAAACTTACCAGAAAATTACACAAAAACAAAAGAAAAATTAAATGACAACCAGGTGCCATAGCACATGAAATTATATCACTGTTTGATGATATACTCAGTTAAGTACTCTTAATAAATTACAAGACATTTGCTTTGCAAGTAACATTGTCCAACCGCAAGTATTATTAATAAACAGCGTAAAAAAGACCACTTAAAATCTCGTACAAGTCACATATATAAGTAGAGCATATCATTTGAAAATTCAAAAACTATGTTCAGCAGGTGGAAGTTTACAAAAGATCACAACAATTAAAGAAAATTAACGACCATTACATGCAACCCCTCCCCTACCAAACAATTGCAGAGTGAATTACACCTTTGAATGTACTAAGACATGATTGGTGAAATCAGGCGCTTGTCATATTTTAAATATATGGAGTAATTGGTATAATTTTAAAGTTCGCTCATTTGTCTTGCTTTTGGTGATAAATCATCAATATATCTTGAACAGATGTGGAGATATTTCTGATATTGAATGAGGTAGGGGTCGTCTGATGTCAGAGGTAAAATAAGAAAGAAAATGACCGTCAAAGTTTGGTGATTTCCAAAGCTTGAGTGTCCCGGGAAATTGCCTTTGATCAACAATTTTCAATAAAAGTCATTCAGAATCGTTTTGTTATGTCTTTTTCTTTGATTCATTAATTTGACAACAGCCTGATTTCACCAGGATGCCACACAATTGTATATTTATAACTAGATTTATTTGGCGTCTTCTAAAAAAAAAAAAAAAGCAAGCAAAAATGTTTAACTACACACAACAGAATAACAGTTACTCAAGTAAATAGATATAAATCAAAGTCCGCATAATAAAATTGTTATCTCGTTCATGGCAGGACCTTGGCATTACTGCAGAGTAACAAGACAGTCGTCATGAAATGATAACATTTGATTGAATAAAATACTGTCTATAGAGACCACTATCACTACACTTTCAGGGTTTTGTTTTTCTGTTGTTTTAAAAAAATGATAGGGTGGAAGATGGATAACAAACACGTTGAGGATTGGCAAATATATTCGACCCATCCATAATTTGGGTATACCGTAAGTGAAAAATTAATGAGATATCAGTTGGGAAATGGCAGATTGTATAAACTATTTAAGATTTCAAGTTTTCCATATTCGTATTATCTGTCCCTGACGGTACCTATTACGCCACCTCCCCGCCCCCCCCCCCAAAAAAAAAATCAACATCAATTAGACCATTTAGGAGGTGGGCTGCTTTGAACCTGTCCATCAGGGCCAACCCAGCCTGAGTGAGGTACAGAATGCCGGCAGAGATGAAGTAATTTCCATATTTGGCAATGTAACTCGCATCTTCTGTGTGCAATGGCAGAGAACCTTGTTGCAGTACTAAAGATGTTGATCCATAACACTCCCTCATCCCGTAAACTTGCAAAGGGAAATTAAGCGGCAACAGACACATTAAACAATACCGGAAACATCTTTAAAAAAAAAGAAAAGAAAAGCAAACACTGTTACAGCAAGACTCTAGTCTGTATTGCAAGAATACCAAGACTGAAGAAGCTGAAGTTTTTCTACAATAAAAGCCGATGGCCTCGTAATATCGCAGCTGTAGTACACCGCCCTGCACTCAGTTTCTTGTTTTCGGACAGTAAGTTTGTTACACATGAAGAGTATGAGAAAAACATAAATAAAAAATATTTTGATTGATTGTAAATATTTTATGCCTACATGTACACAATAGATCATGTAAAGGGCAGGCAAGTAAAAAGTTAACGCAGGAGTCAACAGGTATGAAAGTTAAAGACACCATCGCAGATATTACTTAGCAGTCATTTTGTCATTCCACTAGTTAGTCTGAGCTATTATATTTCTCTTCTTCACCATCCCATACTGACTGTCAGAAAGAACTAACTATCAACAAACTCGACCGTTTTCACATTTTGTTTGTCTTTAACAAGCATATATTACCAGAACATTTATATTTGTACAATATGGCTGGGAGTATCTTTACTCGTTTTTATCTGCTAATAGAAATTGATTTATAATAAACGTTTTAGGCCTCTTTTAACACAAATCAGATCACTTAAGTGGGAGGCTACATAACCTGCCTGCCAGGGCCAACCTGGGCTGAGTGGGATACAACAGAAAGATGGAGATACTTCAAGACACTGACTTCCCTTTGGGGGAACCACACTCCCAGCGAAGAGTTCAACCATTCTCTTGACACCGGTTACATAACAGTCAAAGATTCAACAACCATTGTTTTGATTCCTCAGATATTTTCATACTGCATCAGTCATCAACTTGCATACATTGCTGTCATATTTTTAACTTGGACAGTATGGCTCAGAGTTGTTTCGTAGATGGTTATGCTCGAAGAGAAACTGTAACTCAACCTTATTTTGATTTTTCAGAAGCTTATCTTTAAAAACTGGGGCAAACTTGAAACACAAGATTTTCTGTTGTTATCCTCAGAGAAATCCGTTACAATAGGTTTACTTAATTCCAAATCAAACACACTTCATACTTATAAATACACATTCATTCGATAAAGGTTGAGACACCAGCAACTGACTTTAAATGGCAAACTCTCACACATTACCATTATATCAACCATCGTATGCGGAAAAACTAACCATCACTACAAGAAGTAGACTATATGAGAAGCCAAAAGCACTTCTGCACTTCAATGTTTTAATTAAGTACTTTTACATTCTTTAAGTATAACTTTTATCTCAATACAAATATCTAAAAGTCTAGTTCAAACAACTGATTGACCTGACTTTGGACATAAACAGTCTTACATCATAGGCCCGTGTATGATTAACCCTTGCATTCTACCCTTAAAGACAGGGATATTTAAAAAAAAACAAAATTCCCTGAAGAGCTAGTTCCAACAAAGTCATCCTTAGGTATAGGACGAGAAATGTTCTAATCTTCAGCCCCAAAAAAGGAAACTCTAAAAGTGAATGCCATTACCCATCCAAATGCGATGCCGTGCACACTTTCAAGATCAACTAACTGTGTCTACCAACAAGCCCTCACATTGCATTAGATTTTATGATGGTCTGAAAATATCATAACAAGTTCTTTTTTCCTCCACAGCATCCACAGTGTAGAGACGGATATGAACTAACGACCGATATATATATTTTTTTAAAGGGGCACTTTCACTTCTATTTGGACATTATCACTACTTCCTTTTTCCCCCCCTGCAATATCTACTATAAAAAAAAGGCACCCAGAAAATCCTTATTCCAGCATAAGAGATCTTTCTTTCCAACAGTCACAGCACTATTCAACCTCATTATTTCTTGATAGACTTCTCCTGCTGTTTCCAAACATAGCTGATTGTTTGAAGCATCACATAAGCTGTTGTTTAGTGTAGAAAAATAGTAAGACAGAAGGAAAGAGACAACTGAGAGATAGTAAAGAAGTAGGATACACCAGCAGTACCCTCCGACAACCAACAAGTTGATGAAGTGACTTCCACAAGCTCTTTCACTTGGACACCAGGGAGACGAGTTGATAGGAAAGATGGGAAACTCGACATCCTACGAAATGGTGAAGAAAAACTACATGGATAAGGGCCTCGTGGAATAATGCCTGAGTCAACATTTACTTGAAGTGCTTTGATCTGATTTTGATTTTGAAGTAAAACAAAAAAGAAAAAAAGAGGTGCTAAAGAGGTCAAAACAGACACATGGTTTCCCACATTTTCGCTTAACTCTCTCATAATCACGCTCCCTCACACACGAACACATGCATGCACTCACTTAGAAACTCTTAGTTCTACAAGTCTTAAAAGACCAAACCCTCACAAGATATTAAGTAAGGCATAAAACCTGAGAAAAAGCAAGAACAAGATGCAACCCCCCCCCCCCCCCCCACCTTCCTCATATTTAAACAATACTCAAAATATATGGTGCCCATCAAATCTTTTGGTCCCCAGAAGTAAAAAATTCTCCATCAATACCCAGGGAGGAACAGTGAATGGAGGAAAGTCAGAGGTGAAGACTCAGGAGCAGCCAGTTAGATCACACCAAGGCGAGCTTGAGCCATCTGATTCCTCAGTCTCACAACCTCTACAAACATGTCCTTATCTGAGGACCAAAAAAAAAAGACAAAAAATGTTGCTGGTTAAACTAAAAGGATTGTTTTGTTTGAGACACCCAGAGTTTGAGTAAAAAGAGGCACATTGATGTTATCATGGTCATCTAGCATAGGGAAAAAAGTAAGTGAGGCAGACAGAAACAACAGAGGTAAAGAAAGATAGTAAAACCAACAAGTGACACCCTCCAACCACCATCATTTAAAAGTAAGCCCATCACATAAATTCTGCACATTAAAATATACTGCTGTATATACCATATTTCCATTTGAAGAAGGGTAACAGGGGATTGGGCACGTACAATATTTTAAAAAACAAATTTCATAAGATTGCTGTTTTTTTTAAACTTTTCTTTTTCCCAAACAGAGACCTGGAAACTACCCAATGCTCTCTCCAATCTCCAGGAGACAGGCTTTTTATTGAAACACATTTATTGACAGCAGAGACAGGGGAGTATGGGCGTGTGCGTGTGTGGAGAATGATTCAACCAATAATTCAGTGACAACAGGAACTGACTGTCCACTCACCTGAGCTCTTCACCAGCCCTTGAACTATGTAGCGAGTGTAAGCATAGAAGTCACACACAGCAGCTATCTGAAAAAACAGGAGGACATCAGTCAGAAATACATGGAGGAACAAATAAAAAAGTAACACAGTAACAATATCTATTATGTATATAATATATATACACATATACATTACAGTAATAATTTACATAGAACAATAACAATATATACATAACAGTAACTATATTTCTAAATGTGCAAGTCACTGATTAGAAATACAAATCTAAAAGAGCAGAGACCATACATGTCATGACACAGTGGAATCAGCCTGTAGATCTAAGATATAAACTTCCTAAAAATAAGGTTGAAATATTCCCAAGAACTAACGATTGACTGACGAACCCTATATAAAACTCACCCTATTGCGAGACATCTGAGATATAGAATGCCACTCGTCGTCTCCCTCAAACCTGATCTTGAAGTTGCACAGTTTGTGGGTTTCTGACAAGGAACATTTTCTAGAGAGGAAAAGAAGATTCAACATCAGCACCTGCAAACAGCTGGGTTTTTTAAGTTTGCTTTAGTAAAAGTTTTACAGTATTTGCAACACAATTTGGTCATATAAATGCTGAAGATCAGAGGTTTTACTAGAGAGTAAAGAACACTAAAAAAGAAGGAGGAGAGATAAGGAGATAGATGTTTGATGGGGAAAGAAGGAGCAAACCACACCAGAGTACCCGCCAACTACAGGGCTTGAATTAGGTGTTCAGGAGGGCAGGCAAAAATTGCCTTGGTGGGGCCTAAAAATCAGAGGGCACTGAGGCAATTTTCTAGGGCACCAAGGCAAAAATTATAGGTGATCATTTTGTTGATTAAAGTTAGTAATACTGGATCGTGCATCACAACGTTAATATAAATAACAATACAATTTATTCTTGCTCTCAACAAAAGTATAGAGTTATCGGAAAATTTGTAAAATCATGAATGAAAACTAAGTAAATCACTAGATGATCAGAATATTGAAAATATGTTGGCACACACAATATAGATAAAGACTGGCTTACTGTTTGTCCCTTATGGAAAAACACAAGTGATTTTAAAAAGTATCACCAGAGAAAATGATTTCATGGAATAGTGCTGTATTATCAGGACGTCTATTTGTCAGACACATCTCTTGCCACTTGGCAATGCAGGGTTCTGGATTGAATTGGGATATATAAGCATGATCTTTTCAAGCATATCTCTGGAAAGCAAATGCCTTCAGTCTCCTAGGATGCACCTCTTCAAAGAAGACAGGGATTACAGGAGCCAAATGAGACAGATTGGGAAATTTCCTTGCTTTTTTCAAGACTGAACTTGTCTTGTTCTCACTCAGAGGTAATAAGCCCCAGCCTGACTTTCGGAGAGAAACATGAGCCACTCTTTCTTTATTTTCAGTGTTGAGCATCCTTGATGTTGAAGCACAGTCTCATAATGAGCTATCAAGTCATCCATCTCTGTCTCACCATATTCTTTCAACTCATCCATTTTGTCAGTTTCAGACAAGTCTAACGGGATGTCTTCATACCCCGCCCCCCCCCTCTCTCTTCCACGAGTGTATCTTAAAAATTAAAAATAACCAATAATGCCTGCCCCCCCCACCCCCACAATTTCGGAGTCCCATACTTCCCGGCGTTCAGTCTTTGAATGAACTTTGGTGACCCCAACAACCCGTGCTCACACGATGCGGTATCTTGTGACTAAGGTTCACTGACCTGCCACGGCGGCGATCCCGACAAGACGCTTGTATAACTTTCTTTTCTTTTTTTCCTCCAAAAGTGACAGCACAGGACAAATATTGATTTATTTTCATGGTGGTACATTTTGTAAAAACAAAAAAAACAAGGGCACGGCAAAAATTGCCGCGGTTAAACCTTTGATTTTAAGGGCATTACGGCAAATTGCAACGGCACCAAGGCAAATTGCTGTGGTGCTGCGGTCTATTTCAAGCCCTGCAACTACCTACAAACCGGTATTATTTGTTGGGATTGTAAGTGTTTAATGCCATTATCGACAAAGTCTACATTAATTAAGTGGGTAGCTTTCATTCTGCCTGCTAGGGCTTACCGGGGCTGAGTTGGGGAAAAACAGCTTCCCTGCAGACAGAGTAGATATGTAAAAAAAAATATTTTTTTAAAATGTCTCATTCGGGTGTCAAACTCCCATTTTCTTAGCGCAACAGTTACACCAATGATGCAGGAGCATGGAGGAAGATGATGCTAGTCACACAAAAACAAAATAGATAAAGCAGACCACACTACAGGTTTAACAAACCACTGACACAGAGAAATCTGTAAAGGGAACACAATCACAATGGCAAGGATAAGACATGCAGTCAGTATCTTGGTGTCAATGCGGTGTTTGTCTCCTTGTTCTCCCAAGCCATAATCTATGCTCATTATCTTCTGCTACTGAACTAACTGATATCATTTTTCTGGGTAGCAGTAGTTATAGTAGTAGTAGAAGGTCTTATTTCCTTTGGCTTCGTGCTTGCCTGAACTCTCAGAATACTCAAGAAAAAAGTGTCAGAGATACTGGTCAAGATGGACTCACCGGGGAAAAGAGTGGTCCCCTGGGATAGGCTCGATAGACAGGCTGTTGTTCCTCACACTCTCCAGCAGTCTCTCTGCAAGCTGAAACAGGAAAAGTTACATTTTAGTTTTAGTGAGCATTTTACAACTCCTGCAATACAATTAAGTCATACGGTAAAAGCGCAAAGATTAGAGGGGTTACTAGAAAGTAACAAACACAAAAAAGGAGGCGAGATAAGGACTACAGATGTTTGATAAGATAGAAGGAGCTAAGCACACCACAGCATCCACCAAACACCCACAAAGTTACAAAAAAGATTGTCTTCAAGAGAGACAAAAAATCTCTCCTTTCAGTTTTAGTTTGAGTAAAGAGAAGCACATAAACAGAAAAATGATCCTTTGACATAAGGAAAAAGAAGCAAAACAGAAAGAAACGACAGAGGGAGAATGAAGTTGTAGGAGGCTGTTCCAGAAAACAAAAGACAAATTTTGAGAGCACACAGCAGAATTTGACACGCATCTTGGGTAAGGGAGATCATTTGAGATCACAGGACGACTCTAATTATTTGACTGGCGACAGAGTCTACGCAATGGTAAAAATAAATTATTTCCTGGTTTTCTATTTTTAGTAGGCATATGACCTATTGACTCCATCTCTTGCTTAAAGTGGCCGGCCAGAGTCTGGTCAGACCTCCAAACCCTTGGCCTGTTGGACAGACACTTACTTACAATATTATTATAAACTCGCCCAAAAAAGTCAAGGAACAGCTTGTGTTTTCACCTGTCAAATTCAAACTTCAATATCTCACAAACCCGTTATGATCAGTCTACCAAACTTGGCACACGCACTGACGACAAGACACAGTTTGCCTGTACGGCAAATTTGCCAGCACCAGCTTCATAGCGACGACGCAGGGCATTCTGAAACACAGCCTAAAAGCATGAAAAATGGGCTAAATTTCTCTGACTCAGCAACATTGGCATAGGGACTGTTAGCTAAAACTAAGCTTGGCACGTGCTAAACAGATGTCTTAGCTGTGATGATTACTCACTTACAATCCTTTATAAGCCAGCGTTTTTCTGCCATGTTTCATTACAACACGATGGTCCAACAACACTCGCTGCCTGACGTCAACAGAGGACGAGCCCTTACCTGGCTCCAAGATAGCTCCACGCTTCCAGTTGTTGCACATCGATTTGGGGTGTCTCCATCAGTCATATAGAGGCTGCAAGAACGATGGCGAGCGACCGGAAGGGTCCCGGACAGGCCTCGACCAGGATCGCCCCGTTTGACCAACAACAGCGTCGACCAGTTCATCGTCAAACAGGCCGTGACGTCACGAACCACCACTGCAAACGGCATCAGGGACCAACTACGGGTGACAGCCAATGTCCACGAGAGCGAGGAGACCGTAGGGAACCGTATCCGTAGAGCCAGGTTAGCTTCTTGTGTCCCTGCCAGGCGCCCAAGGCACACGCCGCACAACAAAGCAGCTCGCCAGGTGTGGCCTGCTCGCCAATAACAGTGGACACATTGGCTCAGTGGGACCAGGTAGTCTTCTCGGACGAATCCAGATTCAACCTGCTGCACCCAGACAGGCGAGCCCACGTCTGGAGGTGCTGAGGAGAGCTGTTCCACCCTGAGTGCATCCAGCAGGTGGCGCCCTACTTTGCAGGGACCGTTCTAGTATAGGGAGGCTTCTCAGCTCACCACAGGACCTTGTGTACCATATACAGGGCAATTTGACCTCAGCTAGGTACAGGGAGGAAATCCTGCGTCCCCTTGTCGTTCCTCTCCTGAAGCAGATTGGACCCGAGGCTGTACTGCAGGATGACAACGCCATGCCATATTGCGCACGCGTCGTGGGGGACTTCCTGCAGCAGCGAGCTGTCACCTGCATGGACTGACCAGCTTGTAGTCCGAATTTGAACCCAACAGAGAACATTTGGGATCACATTGACCGGTGGATAAGGGACAACCACCCTCCAGCACAAAACCGTCAACAACTCTTGGGCTACCTCGTCCAGGAGTGCAGAACCTACCCCAACAAGTTCTCCGAAGGCATGTCCTGTCCATGCATCGATGCTGTGCTGAGTTTTTGATCAAACGAAGTGGCTACATCCAGTATTGACAATGTTCATGAAGAACCTTGGCTGTTCAGACTTTTGAAATCCGACCAGTGTGACTTACTCATTTTACATAAACTTCTCGTTGTTGTTGAAATCTGAAATTGTACGCACTTAATCTAGAGAGTCGAAAGCATCTTTTGTGAAAAAATGAATAAATTCGCTAAAACTGTTCTTCAGTAATCTTTCTTCGAATTTTTGTTCCTTGACTTTTTTGTGCGAGTTTATTTTGTACACATAAAACAGCATCACTGAAGCAACAATCAAATGATCATTGGAGATTCTGCCCATGTTTTGGTACTGCCATTTCATTTGTACAAGCCCACACATGTCCAGACGCAAAACGAAATCACAGGCCCATTGTGCCTTCCTTAATTAGGAGTTTACTAGGCACATTCCAGACCACTAGATAAAGGTAAAGCCACATACGTACCCGAGTATTTTTAAAGTTGAGACAGGGTGTAATGTCCTCTTCATGGACACGGTTCAAAAACTGGCAGGAGAAATCCATATTGGGCTGAAGTCTCCACCTCGCAAACTCATCAAATGCATTATTGTCCATCTGGATAGGAGCGGAGAGAAAAGAAAAGAAGAGCTCCATTTAAAAAACAACAACATTTTCCAGTGTTTTGAATCAGAAAATAATTTCTTGTCTTCAAATCCATCGAGACAGAGGGGTGAATGCCATAGAAAACAGGACAAATACTTAGCACTTCTCTTGATATCCTTTGTTTCAAAGCAGACATAAAATCTTCAACTGCTTTCCATGTTACTGAAATATTTATCATCTACAAGTGCTAGGTCCGAAATAGATACCAGCGTTCGTGGTTGTCATTCATTTCTCTGCTCAGATGCTCTCAACCCCCCCTTCCCTAAAAAAAAAGACAAAAAAAAAGAAAGAAAAACCTCAAAACAAACCTACACTATCTTGGTCTAACTCATCTGATTAAGTTTTTAATGAAAGTTATAAGTACAGTTAAATCTGTTCAAACAGCAATGTGCTTAAAACAATCACCAGTACAAATGGCAACTTCCTATTCCCTTGCGTATTTTTTAAACAGAATACCAACACTGTGTAAGACATTCACCTAAAATGGCTACTTTTCTCCTCATCTGTCAAAGACATTTTAAATAATAATAATAATAATGTATAACATTTATATAGCGCATTTCCAAAAAAGTAGCTCAATGCGCTTTACATTGGAATACCCATTTTCAAAACCTTTCTTACTACAGTGGAACTCGGATTTACCGAGCTCGGATTCAACGAGAACTCGGATTCAAAGAGAGGAGATAGATTCCCCGTTTTTTTTCTTCTTTAAAATCAATAAAAATAACCCAGATTCAACGAGCACTTAAATCAGCAAGCTCAGATTCAACGAGGTCGCTTCCAGGGGGAACAGCCCCCACAGACGTGGCTTCGCTCATTTTTCTCCCAGAACGAACTTTATCTATTCCCGGAAACCATCCATTGCACCTGCATCGTGAACTATTGTTCACTTAGCCGATTGAATGCGACCAATCAGCGGCCTTTTTTTCATGCCAACATATGCGGTCCGAGCGTTGAACGTCGCAGATACAAACGCGTTAGTCTTTTTTTCCCCTCCGGAACTGATCATTATTATATCAGCTAGGCCCTAGTATTGACGTAGATCTACCTAATGAATTGAGCGCTTGTCTATGGAATCAAAAGTTGCTGTGTGCTAGGCTCTACACAGCAACACAATTTTTGGCAAACATTCGAGATGACACAGGCGTGCATTTGAACGAATTGGTCTTTTATTTACACAGCTCATAATGTGCAAGCTTTTCAGGCACTACTTGTTACTTCTCTTTACACATTATGTGCTCAAAGCCTGTAGTAATAATCCACACAAAACCCCATGTTTGCTATAACGAACACTCAGATTCAACGAGATCTTGGGTCAGGCCCCGCGACCTCGTTGAATCCGAGTTCCACTGTATTTCCTTTCTTCTCATGCAATATATATTTATGCACACACACACATACACACACACAGAGTATTTTCATCCAGACATAGGCACAGAATAACTATAATAAAAAATAACGTTAAAAGCTTATGAAGGATAGTTAATTGAGACTGACCTCCTTGAGGTGAGAGTGGTGCTGGTTGGCCTCTGCCTTCTCCCTGGAGTCCTTGGTAAACTGGTGATGGCTGGTGGAGCGTCGGTGCGTCTTCCAGAATGGCTTACTTCCCTTCTCCTTTTTCTGCGTGTCGATCTGCGGGTGCAGGTGCTTGTTGGGACTGGCAGGTGTGGAGGTAAGCACCAAATCCTTCAGGGCAGTCACCTCTGCCGACAACATTTCGATCTGCGAAAGAAAAATGTGCCAATACTTTTGTCTTTCCACAACATCTCCGAAGAGAAACAATGTGCCATTACCTCAGTCCATAACATCTAGTGCCATTACAATGTCCACAAAATCTCTGTAGGGGAACAAACTGTCATTTCTGCTGTCTATGACATATCCATAGAAAAATAGTGGGCAATTATTTTTGTCCACAACATCTCTGTCGATAAAATACATGAGCCATTACTTCTGACAAAAAAACAAAGTGCCATTTCTTCTGTCTGTAATATATTTGTTGAGGAAAAAAACTGTGCTACTTCTTCTGTTCACAACATCTAAATCTGTATAGATTACAGAAAAATGAATCGGATGTTATTATAACAGGACCAAATTCACTTAACCCCCGACGCTTTTTTACTCACAGAACATGGACACACAGTCATACACAACTGTTACTTGGTGATAAATATCTTTATTTATATATATGGTATAGTTGTAATATGTTATTTCTTGGCGATGAATATCCATATTTTTTAATAAACAGTATAGTCACACTACTTAATTACTTAATGAGGAGTACCTTTACTTTCATCTGCAGATAATTAAGACAACAAATTACTTGGCGAAGAATATCTGTATTTTTATACGCATTTTTTGACAAAAACTGCTCACCTTTGTGTTTGCTTCCTGAAGTTGTTTCTTGGCATGCTGTTCATTGAGAGCAGCCTCATTCAGTTGAGCATTCACTTCCTGAGAAAAGAAAAGACACAGATGTGTCGAGACTATCTGACGTGCCACTATATGAGACATCTTAATTCACCGGCTTTTGGGAATATCTGTAATAAAAATTGCTTGCACAACCATGTTCATTAACAATAACCAATCTCTGTTTTAATAGATTGTGAAAAAAAATCAAAGCATCCCCCCCCCCCT